TTTTTTTTATTAATTTTAATATTATATATTTTATTTTTTTTTTATTTTTTTAATTTTTTTTTTGTTTTTTGTTTTTATTTAATTGATTTGCTAAATTTTTGATAAAAAATTTTGATTTCTAATATAAATTAGTTATGATTTAAATTTTATTTTTTGTTTTTTTTTTCTTTACCTTAAAAAATTTAGATTTAAAATTTTGTTTATATCACAGTGACATTCAGTCTAAATAATTTTGAGTGGATATTAAGTTATTAGCATATTTTGAATAAAATTTTGTTTTTTTTTTCGTTTTCTTTTTTTTTTATAAAGATAAATCTAAAAATGTAATATTTATTTAATTTTTTTTTAAATTTAGTCAAAAAGAAAACAAATAATGGTTAAGAAAAAGAAATTTTTTTTTATAAATTTTTAATTTTAAGAGAATCATAAAGATTTCAACAAATACAAAAGATTCAATTATATAAGTTTTATAGTAATAATTTTCAAAAAATTTTATATATTTCCAAATTAATTATTTATTCCTAAAGGTTAATAACAAAAAAAAATTTGATTTTTTTTTTATCATCTATAAGCGTTCTAATTAGTATACAAGTTGTTCATCAATAATTTATATATGAATAAAGATCAAAACACGTTAATAACATTAATTCCACAATATCTTTCCGAAAAGGTTTATATTTTTAAATTTTTTGCCTTTTTTTTTCATAATTTTTATTCCTAAACATTTAAAACATTTCATCATTTAAAATCCAAAGCGTTCTACAATTCATTTAATTACAATTTTTTTCTTTTCTTTTTTAACTTCATTTTTACAAATCGCACCCGAAACAATAATTTATTTTTCTTTTTTAAATATATCACCGAAATAATAATTTTTTTTTTTGTTAATTGTATACCTTAAGTTTCACAATTTTAAATATGTATTTAATTTTTTTTTTCTTTTTTTTTGATTTATTAAAATTTAGTTTTATTTTCGTGATTTAAAAAATTTTGATACGCTCTTTTAAAAATAAAACTGAAAAAATTAAAGAAAAATAATATAATTAAAAATTAAGAACTTTTAAAATCAAATTTATAAAGTGCAAACATTAAAGAAAAATATGGTATAAAAAGAAACCGAAAATATGAAATTTATTTAATTGAGATAGCAAACAATGTTACTTTGAAAAGCATCTTGAATTATAAAGTTTTAAAAAATTAAAAATATTAAAAAAGAAATTAATCTTTGCAAATTTTGTTTGCAAAAAGAATAGGTTTTACAATTTTAATCAAAATCTAAATAAAATTTGTTTTTATTAAAAATTTGTAAATGTTTTCACCTTATGTTCTTTATAAATATGTGGCTTCATTAAAATTTATACTAAACTTAGTTAAATCAGTCTGTACTAATATTTTTTCGTTATGTTATGAGTAAATTTAATGTTCTAAAACATTTGCTAACATAAAACTTATATAAAGTAGTGCTACTGAAATAAAATTTTGAAATTTGATAAAATAAATTAATAAAAGACGGTATATAATTAATGATTAGAAAAATCAAAATACTTTTATGTTTATACTTAATTAAATTACAGAAACAAAAAAAATTAAAAACTAAAATTAAAATATTAGTTAAAATTTAATATTTATTTATATAAAAACTGAAAATAAAATTATAATATATAAAAATAAAAAACATAATATTTAAAAAAAAATCATTGTTCTTTTATTTAATACATAGAAATAATTATAAAATAAATGATAATAATATCCTATATATATATTTATATTTTATTGTATTTGATAAAAACACTAAATTATAATAAAATTAATAATAAAAACTTAAATATAAAACACAATAAAATTAACTTTTAAATTCTATATATAATACTCATATAAAAGTAACTTATAATAGTATTCAAGTAAAAATATATTATTACAAGTATTTATAATAATAACATTATGTATATCAAAATGATTGAAGAAAGAAATTAATTAAATGCAATAAAATGAAAATTAATAAAATCATACTAAAATATCATAAAAAATATTTAAATATATTTATGGAATATAAAAAATTCGATTTAGAAAAATATGATTTTTAAATGGAAAAAATTTCATATGAAACTTATTCCTGTCTATTGAATTAGTAAAAGATGAAATCAATTAATTAAATTTTGAAGATTGAATTTCATAACAACATTAATTTATAAAATATAGCCACTGTAAAAATTGATATTTAAATGTTAACTCAATTAAGAACACTGTTCTCTAATGCTCATATTCTTACAACAAATTTATTTATTGTACAATTTCTAATATTAAAAATTGCAGTTTATAATAAATATTTTAATATAATTTTTGAGATTTTTGATTTGTACATTTTTTTTTCAAATATTTTTCAGTAGTATGATAGTATAGTTTTTCGAATTTCTTTAAAAATTTCTTGAAAATTAACTTTTTTTAAAAGGCAATTTAACTATTATTTAAAAAAAAAAACAAAGTGAAACCATATTAATTTAAATATGAAACTGAATTCATTACATTATTCATTTTAATATGTATGAAACTGAATCTACCGATAAATTTTAATCAGGAAATGTAAAAAAAGGTATATAAATATTTTTTTTTAAAATAAAAATTATGTTTGCACATAAAAAACACGATTATCAACAAAAAAACAATTTAAAGTAATAATTATATAAAAAATTTAAGAAAATATTGAAAAAATTAATAATATTATGTTGATATATATATATTTAAATATATAAATTCTTGCTTAAATCTTAAAAAAATTAAATAATATTAAAAATTTTCTTCTCTTTTTTTTTTAATTTAATTTTTTAACATATTTATTTCATAAAATATTTCTATCATCAAGCATATTTATATTTGTTTTATTTGCTATTATAATTTTATATTTAAAATTCTTTTTTTTTTTTGTTTAATGAAATTTATAAAATTTTGTGTTCATTTTATTAATTCAAACTCAGACCATTAAAATAAAAATAAAAAAAATATGAAAAACGAATTTAATGTGTTTTAAATCTAATACATTCTTTTTGTTTTTAATATTTTTGGAAATTGAAAAATATGAAAAATAATTAGAGAAATTTATAGATTATGAAGTGAAAATTCAAAAAATGTAAATTTTTTTTCATATTTTTTTTTCAATTTTTGTTTGTTTTTTTTTTACATTTTCTTTTTTTTTTCTTTTGATTCTTAATTATTAGTTACATCACTATAGAAATGACTAAATTCTAAAAAAAAATCTTTTTATTCTTTGTTTTATATTATAATTATGTTTAAATATTTTATTAAATTTTTTGTTTTAATTTAAATAAATTATCAATTTTTTAATAATTTAGGGATGTTTTTTTTATTTTCGTTTGATTTCAACGTTTTATAAAACACATTAAATGCGTTTATTAATTTTTATATGTTGAAATTATTTTTGTATTTCTAATAATTTTGTAATTTTTTTTTATTGTTATATCAATGTTATTATACATATTTCATATTAATTATTTTACTTTAACGCTTAGTTCCGAATATTTTTTATGTATGCATTTTTTCCATATTTATATGATATTTTTATATAAATATTAAATATTTAATATATATATATATATTTTGTAAACATACTTAATCATACAATTTTATTTATATATTTGATTACATTTATGTTTTACAATTATGATTTTATTTAATTTATAAATATATTTATAATTTAATCTTGTTTAATACGTATATTTATTTTTTTGAAGGGTTTACCGTTTTCTTTCCTTGTTTTCATTTTCTTTTTGATTCATTACAATTTTAATATTTTAAATTTAATTTTTTTATTTCTTTAACAGTTAAATAATATTTTTTTTTAGTTTAAAATTAATGAATTGAAAACGAATATTAAAAATGAAAATTGCTTTAATATACAAAATAAAAAAACCGAATAACTGTTTTAACAAAAAAAGCTATTATCAAATTAAAAATTTTTCTCTTTATTATCTAGAAATTTATTATTTTGATTAGAATAAAAATTACAAAAATAGCATTTCAATGCAGGCCAAATCAATTTGAGGTTATATAAAAAAGTTAATATCCGGAATCTAATTTGAAACAACCGAATTCGGAACAATGAAAAACGGCTTACAAATTTATTGAGGGGAAACTGCAAATTTGTTCCAAAATGAATAGAATTTTATTAAAGTTAAAATTAAGAAAAATTCCACTTTCTTAAAAAAATTGTTAACCTACTGGAATTTGCTTGTTTAAGTTTATCAAAAATTTTGTTTTCTATATTATTATAAATTTCAATACAAGTTAATAATTGATGACGAAAATGTTAATTATAAGAAACTTTTTCAATTTTACAAGCTATATTTATTTGAATTGGTAATAAGTGATAGATTTTTATATTTGATAATAGCTACATATTTGTCACATAAATTAAAAAACAAATGAAAATATAATATGGCACAAATAATTTGATAACGGTGAAATTAAGTACATAAACAAAATTAAATTCTTAATCTATCATTATGAATTGGAAGAGTTTTTGTAAGAATTCGTAAATTATTGCACAAAATAATGATAATACTAAAAAATAATATTGGAAGCCTTTTAAGGAAAATGTTAAAAGCAAAAAATTATTTAAGTATACATTTTCACTTTTTTAATTTTAATTTTAAAATTCTTTTAAACAAATAAACAAAATTAATATTATTTGAAGAGAAAAATATAAAAAATTTACATACATTAATTTATTAATTTAATTTTTTATTTCATTTAACAAAAAAACTTGACTTGAAATTAAACAGCCAGATTCAAATACAAACTTAAATAAAATCAACATTAATTCGAAAATTGATTAACCTATAGTTAACAAAACTTTTTCTGTTTAAGGACTACAAAAATATTCTATTTGAAATATTTGTTTTGATTATTTGAAACTAAAATTAAATAATTTTAAAAATACATAATTTAAAAATTAGGAATAAAAAATTGCATTTAAAACAAATAATAATAAATATAATTTTTTAAACAATTAAATTTGAAAATAAAAATTTAGAAATAAGAGTTTTCAAACTTTTATGTGAAATTCAATTAATTTAATTGGCGAGATTATTTTTGTTTTTTGTATGACACTTATATACCAGTGTTTTTTAAAATTTTAGTTAATTTCTTTTGTTATTTGAAGTTTTTGTTTTTGTTTTTTAAATCTTAAAACTTAATAAATTTGATTAAATTTATCATAGAGATCCGAATATTGTATGAGTATGTAATGTTGTGGGTTGTAAAACCGATGCTGCTGTTGCTAGTGTATGACTATGAGATGATTGTATTACGGGCGGAGGTCCTGGTGGTGGAAGTGTTCCTGTTGTTAATGATAATGGCGCAATAACTGTGGCAGCTAAAGCCCCACTAGCTGTTTGAAGAGCAGGTGTCGCTACTGTTACTATTGGCATTGCTGCTGGTGGAGCAGTTGATGATACCGCTGTTGTTGAATTTTGACCACCAACTTGTTGATGGTGTTGACTATGATGATGATGTTGATTATGGTGATGATTATGTTGATGTTGTGATTGAGATGTTGTTTGTTGTATTGTTGTTGATGATGATGTAGTCTGATGATTTGGAGGATGTCACTGCGCTACAACTGTAACTGTATTTGGTTGTCCACCAGCTGCTTGTGCTACAGTTACAACGGAATTGTTTCCTCCACTAGACGCTGTTCCATTAGCTAATGATGATTGATTGCCTGCATGCGCTGCTGAAGGTTGTGGTTGGTGTTGTTGCTGTTGTTGTCCAAAAGCTTGATTAAATGGCGGCCCATAGCATTGTGGGAAATATAATTCATGTTTAACAACTGGACCCATTCTTGGTATTAAATTTGTTTTATTTTCCATTGTTGTTAAAAATTGTGCAGCAGCTGCTGCTGTTGCAACAGCTGGGTTATGTTTCGTTTCAGTATTTGATAAATTATTTGCATGACGACGCGATTTCGATGAATGTGGATTCATATGGTTGTCTATATGCTTTTTGACTTCCTGTTCAGTAGCGAAACGTCGCCTACAGTTTGGCATTGGGCAACAGAATGGACGATCTCCCTAAAATAATACATTCATACATAAAAATATTAGAATTAAATATTTAAAAATGTCAAAGAAAAATGTAGGTTGTTCTTAATGTTTATAAGAATTGTGAGAAAATTTAATACATTGAATTTTTTCACAAAATTTTTTTATTACATGTGTATTTATGAATGGCGTGAATAATATAGAAACAAATAAATTTTTAATATCTACAACTACCTGGTGAGTTCTTGTATGCTGATCGAGAATAGCTTTTTGTCTAAAATCTTTACCACATTGAGCGCATTTATATGGTTTCTCCCCAGTATGAATTCGAACGTGCTGTTAAATATAATAAGAACATTAAACATGTATTTATATGTATATGAATATATTAAAACAGAATATCATATTTTTTAAAATATGAATGTACCTGATTTAATATTGTCCTTTGACGGAAGAACCGTGGACAATACAAACATGCAAAGGGTTTTTCATTTGTATGTATACGTAAATGTTGGGTTAAATGAGATTGTTGTCTGAAACGTTTACCACACTCAGGACATGGATATGGTCTTGATTCAATGTGAATGCAACCATGTTGCAGAAGGGTACTTTTCTGTTTGAATTCTTTTTCACAAATCGGACATCGTACATATAATGGCATCCCATGTTGATTATTGTGATGACCACGTAGTACATCAGGCAGCATCTTTGGATTACCTTTACTATCTTTATAGTAGGCAGTGAAAAACATACCACTTGATTCTGGAGTACTTTGTGAACCATCTTCATTATAACCAATTTCATTCTTTGTATCACCTTCTTCACCTGGAAATGGTACATCCGCTGGCCATAAAGTTGGATGTGGTCCATTTTTAAAAATGAGATGAGGTGAAACATCTGTAATATAAGAAGAAAATTATATTTTAAAAATCTAAGTTTTCTCTAAACTCTTGTTTTCATTATTTATTCAATGTGAAAAAAGCATAGTGTAAGAAAATTTAAATTCTTTTAAAAGGACAAATGAGTCTACTTTGTTCAAAGGATCTACGAAATTATTTTTGGTGTATGAAAGATTGACTATATAATCTACTTAATAAGAATTTCTTTTTTATTTTTGCGTTTTATTCACCCAGGCGAGCTTAGTTTTTTAGTTATCAGTTGTTTTTGTTGTGGGATGGTCTGAATTAAATTAACAATTTAAATATGTGTGACAATTAAAAAAATCTCAAAATTTGGTGCATGGAGTATAATTTTCAAAATCTTAGTTAGGTTTAGATTGCATTCAAACAAAACAGAAAAAAACAGAAGTAATTGGACTTTTAATTCCACTTCAATTCTTCAATACTAAAGTATCCAAGAATTTATTTCGGTATTTGACCAAATTTTGAATTTTTTCAATTCTATCCGTAACTAATTAAAATTGTTTTCATCTCATATTTGAAGTATTACTTCGTAGATACTTTGAACGATATTCACGAAATACATTTAGTAAACTTTTGTTTTTAAAATCCAATCACTTTTGAAAGTAATATTTCATTATGAAAAGCCAATCATTTTCAATTTTTTAATAATTTTAACACTCTGGTTCGAGTTTATTTCAATTTTCAATTCAATTTATTTGTCATTTTTTTGAATTTGGAAAAAAAACCAATATTTTGCTTTAAAAATTTTGAAAAAAAATTTAATTAGCTTTCTTCTTTCTTTAATTTTTTTTTCTTGTTTGTTTTGAAAATTTTGAAATCGGATTTTTAAAATATTTTTGTTTTTAAATTTTGTTTTTTTGTTTTCGTATTTAATTTAAACTGTCGCTCGCCTTGGTGGGTTCGCACATGCTGATTGAGGATGGCCTTCTGGCGAAAATGTTTGCCGCATTCTGGGCATGAGTAGGGCTTCTCACCCGAATGTATGCGAACGTGCTGATTTAGTATTGCTCTCTGCCGAAAACTTCGTGGACAATACGCACATGAAAATGGTTTTTCATTTGCATGAATCCTTATGTGCTGCGTTAGATGAGACTGTTGGCGAAATCTTTTCCCACATTCTGGACATGGATACGGCCTTGCATCGGTATGTATTCTCTCATGTTGTAAAAGGGTGCTCTTTTGTTTAAAGTCTTTACCACAGCTTAAACATTTAAATAAACGCAAATCTGAATGAGGTTTCGTTTTGTGTGTTGATGGTGATGGTGTTGTATTATTTTGATGCATATTGTGACCACTAGCTGGTAATAAATCAGGCATTGCATAAGTTTCAAGACTGCCATTTTGATCAATAGATCCGCTCATTCCAGGTAATACAGGTTTATTCAAATAATGTAGCGGTGGGAAACCTGGTGGTGCTAGCATTGTACTTTGTGGGCCGCTTGGATGCCTTTGAGCGTAATAATTTATTTCAGTTTGTTGTGGTGCGCTAAATGTACCATCATTATTTTGTTGCGGATTGCCATTTTGAAGCTGTTGTTGCTGCTGTTGCTGTTGTTGTTGATTTTGGTCACTATTATGTTGTGTCATTTCAATTGTTCTTTGTTGTTCGCTAGGATTTTGATTTTGTTGTTGGGCATTTTGATTTGTTTGTACATTTTGTTGTAAGCCGTTTACCTTAAAAATTTAATTAAGAATAATTATTGTAAATTGTAAAAATTTTCTAAGAAAAAATGAATTTACTTGATTAATTCTAACATCGTTTTCTTGTACTGTTCCATTCTGTCTTTGCGAGGGATATGGACTGGTTGACGGGGATGGTCCACTCTGTTGGTGTTGGCCATCCCGATTACGATCTGTGTCATTCGGACTATGGGGTTGTTGTTGCTGTTGTGTTTGTTGTTGTTGTTGATGTTGTGCGGCGACAGCCGCTGCTGCTGCAGCTGCTATTTGACTTGTTGCATTATGTTGTGCATTTTGCGCTAAGTGTGTTTGTGATGTTTGTTGTATTGTGGCCGGGTAAACATCGGCACCCCATTGTGTTCCGCCTAATGCTGCTGCATTTCTTTCAGCAGCTTCTTGGGAATCTTTATATAAGACATACGGGGCCCCTGTATCTTGTGATATACAGTACATAATTTGTCGGGGAACTTTTAAGCCTGCCGCCAAACACGCGGCAAATGATGCAGAAAAATTAATTGCCATATTTTTTTTTCTTTTTCCTTCAATTTAAATTTATAATAGAGTTGCGATTTTTTTGGGTTTTTTAAAAGTTTTCTAAATTTGAATATACAAAATTTTGCGGAATTTTTAAATTTCGTCAAAGTTTTACATTGACGAATTTCTAGTTATTTTACTTGCTTATTCCTTTTAGAGTTTACATTTTTTCAGTTTGCCGTAAATAGTTTTCCTTTTTTAAAGTAATTGAATTCTTTTCTACATATTGTTGTCGTAACCAACACACATGTTGTTCCATAATATTTGTTTTTGTAAATAAGATCCTGTAAAATAAATAAAAGATTGCAATTAACAATAAGTTTCAACAAAAAATAATTTTCAATACAAAATTCGATCAGCATTTTTTCAACGGTATATATAAAAATAGTAAGTAGTAAGATCCCGAAGCTACATAAATGACGTAATCCCGTACAAGCAACATTAAATATATAGAAAATTTCAAGAAAAATTTTGTGATGTTAAGCACAAAGTTGTTCTTCTGTATATTAAACTAGGTCATTTTTTTAATTTATTACAAATGCACATTTGATTTATCTTTCAGTTGAAAAACTTTCTCAAATCATATCTACATAGGCATGCGTTTACATGTATTTCATAAACCATAAGGACTGTCCTTTTTTGCAATATTTTCTAAACAAAAAATTTTAAAAGGAGAAATAGCTCCTTTTTTAAAAATTTTATACTGATGCATATCAAAAATGAATTTATCTAATAAACAAGTATTAACTATAGTTGTAGATGATGAACTTTCTAATTAACTCAGCAGACTTATAGTTCTTTCAGTTTCATATTTCAGCAATACATTATTGAAACCCTTTCAGAAATACTTGCTTGCCTGCATTTCAAATTGTTAAAATACTATGTGTTAAGATGATGTTAATAGTGTCTACGTTGAGAATGTTAATTGCAGAGTTGTTTAGTAACATTTGAATATCGGATCAACATTGTATATTGATTAGATTTTTTTATATTTACATACATATAATACAAAACTATCATAATTACTTCATTTTAATCAGCTCATTTTAATCATTCAAATATTATGAGCTACACGAAAATTTGGCAACACCAAACAAAATCTCTCTATGCATAAAACACTTATAAATTTTTAAGACAAAATAACAAAGAAAGAACTAGGCTCAAAAATGGAGAAAGTAAAAAAGACAAAACGAAAATTTTACAAATAAAATAAAATCAAATTTACATAAAAGCAAAACACAATTCAAGAACAAAAATTGCAAAATATTGTCCCTGAAACTAAATAAGAATATATCAGCAACACAATTGGAGGTCATTACTTCGTAAATGTGAAACACAATGACATCATTATAAAATGTAATGCTCGTAATATTAAAGAACTATACTAGGAATTCCAGCACGAGACAGCCTGCAATTCAAATTGGGAAAAATAAGAGAAAATGCTATACGTGAGTATTGAGTTATATAAACCCATAGAATATACATATATATGTATGCATGGATCTAGACATATACATGTAAATTCTTTAACAATATTTGTATTTTTGCAAGCATGTACGTATAAAAGAAGCAATGTAATCAGAATAAAAAGAAAATAAAAAAAATTCTCATTGTTTGAAAATATCGACTCTTTGCTTTCACGTCCACATCTTTTTGAAATAAACCCCCAAAATGCAAAACATAAAAGGCAAGAAAAATAAAAAACATCATGAGTAAAAAATGAAGCAAGCCATTTTCAAGGAGTGTGACTTATTATAAAAAAATTTCAGACAAAACAATATTATACTTTTGCATTTGCATAATAAGTTCACTAGTGTGTGCCAGTGTATAGATAGAATGGTTTTAGGGAGTTTTGGAATAGCTTATTTAAATTTTAGTATTTCATAAATTGAATTTTTTTTTTAAATGTGATATTAATGTGATGAATATACATATGTTTGTATGTTTAAATGAAATCGATTAATTTATTTGTGCATGCAAATATTAAAATTAACTTCTTTTTCAGAGCAGAATAACAGAATTCAAAATATTTAATTTGGTGAACTCACATATCACACTCCTTAATGAATGCAATACATACTCTCTTATTGTATGCCATACGGTCGACAAAAAGCCAAACCAGTAACATTTCATTAATTTTTCACAAAAATTACATAATTAAATAAAAATTAAATAGAATTTTATAGACCGAAAACTACTCAATATCTGTAATTAAACAGTGATGGAACAAAATTACAATACCTAACATCAAATTATACTTTAAGTTTAAGAATATTAAAGACAGCAAAATATGGTTTCTGTTGACAATATTTGATTATTTCGTAGCTCATACTTATTAAACAGTTCATATTACAAATCTGGGTATGCACTTCATAACATACCCAGATGTATCTAGTAAGAAATATGGATACTAAGAATAATATTGTCTATTTTTGCAGATTACTTCTACTGCAATCAACTTGACTAACAGAATTTTACATAGGCTATTTGTTAGTAACAACCATAAAATTTGCGCGTATTTCCGTAAAAATAATTTTGAGGCGTACAAAATATTCTAGTAAATTTTGAAATTACTTAATGGTAAGAATTCATAATGATAGCAGATACAAATTTAAAAATAAAAATATTTGCAAAAGTAAAGATAATGTAAATACATAAATAATTTAGGAATCAATTAAATATTAATTAAATACTCCTGAGTTACAACAAAAACTTTCATAATCGATTTTACTCAATAGAGACACTATGAAAATATATTATTGTGCTCCGTTAATATTAAGCATACTTAACAAATTGAATATATGTATGTGTGTATGTAAGTATTTGTACTTCTAGGTGTATCAAATTAAAACTTAATTGATGGTTTAAAGTGTTGCAGTCAACGAAGTTCGAAAAACACTACGATCGACCATTATATCAAAAATAATATAATTAATTACTGAAAGATAAAAAAATATAAGAAAAATTTAGGAATTTTGTTTTACAATGCAGTACACGGATACACGCATGAACTAAAATAAGGGTACGAACCTTTTCTAATGAAATATGAATTAAATTATTTATGTAGTTTTATATTTGTTATTCTTTTATTTTTCGACAATAATTAACTAGCAAAATTTTTAAAATAAAAATAGCAAATGACACAGACTTATGCCTGTACTTATGAGAAGATATTAAATGCTTAACGGTGGTATTCAATGATTGTAGAACCAGTCCTTTTTTTTACTTCAGTATTTTGTTGGTGTGTATATTTAATACAAAAAAATGGTAAAAGAAGAAGAAATAAAAGAATAAATGAAAATTAAAAAAATATTTGGTTTTTTGTGCTCCCTATAATATTGATGGTGTTCAGCAGTCTCCAGATTATCTCGAATTTATATTCGGCATTGTAAGATTTCAATGTATATGTGTTATTTTTGTACAAAAAAAAATTATAAAAATATTCTCTGTTCGACTTAACATTATGCTATTTTGTAAATAAAATTATATTTTGTACGAACTACGAAAGCGCAAAGCAACCAAATAAAAATAAACGAGCAAAAAATAGCGACAATAATGAAAAAAGATCAGTTCATCAATTTAAAGAAGAAAAATCGCGGAACATGTTTTACTTTCGCAAAAAATAAGTTGGAAAAAAAACGCCATTAAAACAACAAAAAAATGTTCAACTCTAAAATGATTTATTTTTAGATTGTTTTTTCTTTCTTGTTGTTTTTGTTGTTTCCTTTCTGTAGTTTTTATTTTGTAAATATATAATCACTAAAAAATATTATGTATAGATGAATAAACGTGTACAATGTATAATATGTATGATTATATGTATGTGGGTACACTATGTACAATATAAAGAGCTTGCATCATTTGTAAAGGTGACCATTTATGTTTGGTTTCACAAGGTACTGTGCGGGTGAGTTGAGGGATTTATAACTACATCAGGCTATTGTATGGGTCAATTTGCCAATCAATTTAAGCAAAATAATTGAATTTAGTTGGTATAGTCATAAAATCACTATTTTAAGTTTAAATTGAATTTTAAAAGAAATGTCTTCTACTTGTGAAATATACTTTCTTTCTGTACGTCCGTCTGTCCGTCCATCCTTCCGTCTGCGTTTACAAAACTTCTACATCTTTGAAGACAGAAAACTGAAATTTCATATGCATATAAATTTTTGAAAGAAATTTCTCCCCCTCTGTTTTAAAGAAACAATAAACATTTTTTAAATTCTGCAAACACAGAAAAGTAAAGCTGAACTTCTTCTACTACGGCATAGCATAATTGATCTTTAAAAAAACGAAAAAATTAACCAATACTAAGATCCATTTGTTTTCGTTTCAAATTTTTAATTACACTTTTCTTCTGGACAATAACTAATTTTTTTCCATCTCCACCCTCTCTCAAAATATCGCCTATCAATATTTGTAAAATTTATATTTCGACACCTTGTATTCCCAAAACTGCAAGCTTTCCCAAATTTCTACAAATACAATCAAAAAATATAATTATTTTTCTTAACTCATTTAACACAATTAACCCTTGAATTCGGCCTTTATATTAACACATCTTTCAATTTTTTCATCTTTGCCTCATCCTAAATTTATGCAATCTTTAAAGTATTTTCGTATATAAATGAAAGTATGTAATTTTAATAATGTATATATTATATATTGATGTAATTTAATATTGTACATAATATGTATGTACATATATTATTTTTAAAAATAATGTTTTCACTTATCGGTGGAAAAACTGATTCTTTATAAAATATTGGTTTAACCCAACTTTATTATTCTTTTAATTTCATATTAAATCAGATTTTATTATTTTTGCAATTTCAGAACTATGCCAAACTAAGTAATTAATTTTAATAGAGTCGCAGAATACATTAATTATGTAGATTGAATTGTGTAGAATCCAAATGTATAATAATATAATTAAAAAGAATAACAAACCCAACTTAGGAAGTTTTTGCTGTAATCATATAATTTTAATTTAAGACAAAATTAACTGCAGTTAAACCAATAATTTTAGTCAACAATATGTTTAAAACATAAGAATATATGAATATAACAAATATTCAAATTAATTTCAAGAAAATTTTAATGTTAATTAATATTTATATTTAAATATGTAAATTGCCTTTTGAATTATATATTATGGAACACTTTAATTTAAAGCTACAGCAGAACATTAAAATTTAACAGTTTTGTGCCTTTCACCGCTAATTGCAAAGACAGAACCAAATCGGTGAACAGCAACCACAGACGATTTCCGTTGTTCACAGTGGACACAGAAAAAATAGAGAACATGGAAACACATAACAGTTAAGATATTTTAAAATTTTTTAATGGCTTACATATTGAGGAAAAATCAGATTGAAAAATATTGAATTGAAAAAAAAAATATTTTCTTGCTGATAATCAAGGCATAAGAACAACACCTTCATTTTATAAATTATGTACATCAATATGCATTTTGAGAAAATGGTAACTCTACAATATATAAAAAGGAATTTATAGATATAAATCATATGTATATATAATTTATGTAAAAAGAAATACATTTGTATGTAGGTATGTATTGAAAATATAAAACAAACACAAATTCAAGCAAATATAGTTGAATATTATAAATTACACATATAGAATTGGTTTTTAAATGAATTATTACTTTGCATGTTCGTAACAATTTAAACAGAGTGGCTTGAAAATATACATTTAGTTAAATATTTAGCATTATAATAAGAAAGTGTGTATGAATACGTACATACATTATAATGATTGCAAAAAAAATAATCATTATATATGTACATATATTGAAATATAAGTTTATATTTATATAAGTATATATATTTAGAATATATACACAAACACAAAATTCTTTTGTGTTTTGCGAATTTATTTTTTTTTCGGTAACACACTAAATTAATATTAACGAACGCTATTATTAAAAAAACATAACCGGTATATTATTAGAATGTGGTATGTACACACATATACATCTACATGTTGTTATGTTTGGGAATAATTTGCATTAAATTTAATAAATAGCAAATTAACAAAATTAGAAAAGTAATCATTTACGCTTTTACTAATATAAAATAATATTCGTTTTTTAGGACAGATAAGTACAGCATTATGTAATATGAACAAATAAAATATACTTATATGCATGTACATAGTTGCACGTGTAGATAAGGATCTTTTACTAATGTACTTATGTTTGTATGTATTTCACATAAAAATGTTTGTAAAAATATCATAATTTAGAAATGTGAAAATTTGTAAAAATGATTTTTTCGCTAAAAGATCACCAAAATAGTTGCCTATGTAGCACAGTTTGCAAAATTTTCAATAGAGCAAAAGCTTATACATACATTGTATGTACATATATATATGTATAAATTATATGATGCTGGTAAAAGCTTTAGATTTTTGATAATATGGCGTAAGTATTTATCAAATTCAATTTAACACATTTCTTTCAAATGTACTATATGGTTAATATAGCACATTAAATATATGTAAGTATGGATGTACATACGTATGTATAAAATTAATGTTTTCAATAAAAAGTGATAAATTTCGTTCAAATTGAAAAAAAATTCCTTAGAGAATCAAAAAAATATCAAAAAAATATATGCAGACATATATGTATATGAATACCACATATTACTTGTATTTAATAATAATATGAAATAATCGCATATGACACATTAAATATGATTATTTGATATTAAAATAGAAATTATTTTAATACTCCCCTATAAAAGACTTCTATTTCTAGACCTTTGAAATATTCTAAATGTAAAAATATCTCTTTTGAAACATTCGTAAAGTAGGTAAATTACAGTGGGTGCCAATTAAATATTTTAAAAAAACAAAGTTTTATGTCACTGAAGTGTTGATAAATATGAAAAATTTGTCGTTTCTTATAATTTAGGAGTATGCAATCTCTTCTTATATGTGTACTATGTATGTATATAAATATAATTTTTTCAAAAGTTTTATCATTATTGAAATTAAAATAATTAACTTAATAAGTTTTGCGATTTCGGAGCTAGTAATGACAATACGGAAAAGTAACTTTCTCATAAACACAATCAAAATTTTGATATTAATTCGTCTCTTATAAATTCTAAAGCAAATTTATGCTTAATACAATTTCGAAAATAATTTTAAGTTGACGTAGTCATTAAAAATGAAGAGCTGAGTTTGAGTACGGACCATATACCCATACATACATACTTATAAAAAAAATTAATATTTGTAAAGAAAAAGTGAAGATGAATAGAGATTCTTTAGAATAAAGATTAAGGCAATGTTCCCACCACATAACTAAGTAAACAGAAATTAAAGACCTCATTCGATAAAACTAGTACAATTAAAAATTACTGTAACGATAACGGGAATGACTAAACAATGCACAAATTTTAACCGGTATTCTTTGTTTCAACTCTAAAGCCTCTTAATAATAAAAAAGATTCGCCAATTTTATTGAGCTGAAAAATTATTTAATGTGGAAATGTTAAAATCTTACCAATCGATTATGTTTCAAAAAAGTCCATTAGTAGCTCTGTAAACGATAAAAAGAAAAAAGTTTTATAATTAGTTTTCCATTGTTGAAAATTTGATAAAAAAATTCTTAATAAAAACAAAACGTTTGCAAAATTTGAAATTTCAAAATGTTTATCATTGAAATTATTGACAAAAAATTTTAAATTAAAGTTTTTCCTAGATTTATTTTAAAAAAGTGGTGATTTTTTCACTTTCGCTAAAAATACAATATTTTTAAGTTACTTTTATAAATTTTGAAATTTATTCAAACTATTTATATAAACACGCGCAACACCTTACAAAAATAAAATTTACAATTTAGGTAAAAAATTTACGATAATTATTAAGAGAAGTATGCGTCAAATTGAATAGTCCAAAACAAAAATCTAAATAACAAATTATAAATGTGGCATTTTTACATGTTCTTTAGACCTCCACAATATAAAAAAAAACGAAAAAAAATTATAAATAGGTATCTCATGAATAGTAAAAGAACGAAAATGTGACGTACATTAGTTACACACGTAGAAACAATTAAGAACCTATAAATTTATGCATTTTATGAAATTGTTTTTTGTTTCTACATTCTTAAAATTAATATAAATTTAGCATTATCAATATTGCTAAATTGGTCAGGTATTATGATTCAGTTATGAGGTTTGAACCTTAAATTGCAAATTGTAATTTTTTAAACCAGGCATATCATACTGAAATACGCACCACGGGCCACAATTTATATTTATCTCCTCATATAAAATATTAATAAATAAACGATTAGAAATATTGAAATCTTAAATGAAATCTTCTCACAATTACAATGTTAATTCAATAAAAAAACTTTTAAAATATAATAAATAGTTTTCGATCAGTTGTATACAGTCATTTTTGTTATGCTTATAAATATTTTGGTTCAATGGTTCATTATAAAATGTACGTAATTTAATAAAAATGTTGAATCGCACATTGTTTGCATGCCAAATCTCAACTCGGCTCATATGAACACAACTGTATAATTACAAAAGAACTTTTTAATAATGACAATTATTAGAAATAGTTATTGTTATTCTACAGCAATTTTTTAGGTTAGAAAAAATGTACAACTGCAAACTCTAAAAAAAATGTGATTATAAAATAGATATAGTCTCTAATTTAAATGACTTTCAACCTTGTATTACTGTTAGACAAAAATTTTAAAATTATTCATTCTCTTAGCGTAAATAACTGACTAACTCCTCCGAATTAAACTTTAAAAAATAAAGTTGGTTCAAACCAATGGTTTGTATTGTAGCACTTTTCACTTAAACAAGTGAAAATACTGCTTTTAAATACAGTCTAGTATATCTACCACACTTTTAAAATTATTTTCATTCATAAACGAAACTATTTCTAGGATGGCATATATTTAGGATGAACAATTTAAGCAGTCTTTGAAATAAAGCAAAAATTAATATAAAGAGGGGTTAACATAATGCTGTTGAGAAAAGTAATTATTTTTTAATGTCATGGAATTTACCGTTAGCTTTTTGCGTTTATAGAAATTAGAAAAAATTTGCTGTTTCGGAGATATAAGGCGTCAAAAATTAAAATTTTACAAATATCAAGAGACGATAACTTGAGAGGGGCTGGAGATGGAAAAAAATTTTCTTCCAACAAAATAAAGTATTTATTAGTGTCTAAAAGCTGTTGAAATTCCAGGCTCCTACAATCTGGGATCTAGAAGAAAAACGAAATCAAAAATTTGGAAAAGATGGATTTTAGATAACTGTAAATTTAAACGGCCATTTCGCTTTTTTAAAGTTTGACTAGAGTATGCCGCAATAGGAGAAGCAAGCCGCTGCCTTTCTGCAATAAATAGTCAAAAAATGGCATTTTTAGGGTTTTGGTGGGTGTATAACTTCTAGAGGGGGGGGGGGGGGAGATAGGTAAAAATTTTGTTCTACGGAAATAAGTTTCTAGTAAAGATCTTTATATTTTCAGCTTTCTATCTTCAAGAGTGTAGAAGTTTTGCAAACAGACTCACGGACAGACGGACGGACAGAGTGAAACTAATCACAGAGTGAATAAGCACTTTTTTTCAAAAAAATTTTTGGAAAAGTGCTAAAAATTAATAATTTAATTTTTTTCTAAGTTTATTTGCAAAAACAAGTTGTATAGTCTAGTCTAGATAAAATTTTACAGAGATAGAATAATAGTTAAAAAGTATCCAATGTACGTCAGTGTCTTAAATTTTGAATTTAAATTGCCGCATCAAAAATAAATTTCTAAACTGTTGCCAACGAAAAATTATTGTCTCTAAATTATAATTTGAAATCATAAGATTTGGTATTTTTTGCAATTGCAATCCTCCGATCATTTTTGCCATACTTCATATTCGAAGATCATTGCAGACTTTAAATATTAATCTAACAGTTGTATAAAGTACAATTTGAGTAAGCTTAAAATTTAACCGTTAATCTTGTATTTTAATTGAAAAATATTTAATAGTTTTCTTAAAATTAACTTGACTTAGGTTGAAATTACATATATGTATATGTTTTTGCCTGCTTGTTGATTTTCAAGCTGATAATTTTTCTGGTTGAAACCAGCCTAAACGAAACATGAACCGCTTAATTTAGCCAGTTTTCAGAATGGCTAAATAATAAATAGGCAGTCTTAGCGCCATTTAATTTTACAATTCTTGCGTTTCCGATTACGGTCCATGTACGGTGAACATATGTAGGTATGCAGCTATTATACATTTTCAACAATTACCCTATATATATTTCGGAAGTGAAAACTTAAAATCCAGAGCATTACCTAAAACTTATTAAATTTTATAACAAAATTTTTCACATACTATTTAAATAACTAATGTATAGGTAGTTACTTGCTAATAAGAGCTTTGCATATAAAATATTACAAATATTAAGCATGCCTATATACATATACGTACACACAAATATACATATGTAAGAACATAAGAAAGTAGTACATTTTACTAAAACGTTGTTTTCTATTCTAATATAAACTTTCATATCGCTTTGTATGTACATAAATATACCTACGTATATGTAAATTAATAACAAAACAAATTTCAATTCATATACATAGTCGAATTGATATAGGCAACATATGTATCTATGAATGTATGTATATTTGTACAATGTACATATTTGAAGCAAAAATTAAAGCAGATAAAAAAACGAAGAAAAAAAAAAATTAAAATATCGCGAATATGAATGAGACTTAGTTTTATGATGATCAACAAGTCAATACAACGCACTTATATACATCATGTGCTTACATACATATGTATGTATATACACTTAAGTATATAAATTGTGCTTTTAATATTCAAGTAAGGTAATCCAAATTAAAGTGAATTCAAAATAATTATTGTTGTTAATTTTTTGGAAAATTAATGACATCAAATTAAATTAAATTTGTGGTTTTAATTTACTTTCATTTAATAACGAAGTAATTTTGTTCAATTTTAATATTAAATAATAATGAAATTATAAATGAATTTAATTATTTTTTATGAAATTTATAAAATTTCCCTAAAATTGTTTTAGTTAGAAATTCTCAATTATTATACATAGTGCTTTTATCTAAAAGGTAATTTACCACCCAATATTCGTAGGGACCTACTTAGTAAATATAAATTAATTCAATGTTTAGCTCTTGTGCACGTCACCACATTATTGAAACAAATTATTTTTTTAAATACTTATTATACTACATTAGTTATTACACATATACATTAAAAACCGACTTTAAAGCGATAGCAGTTTCCAACACCCGCATTTGTTAATTGAAAAATACAAAAATTTTTAATAATTTTGCTATATTAAGAATCGACATTAAGGCAATGGTATTTTACCAACACTGAAAACTATCCAATAGCTTACTAGTTCAAATTATTTGGAATAGATAAGCCTGAGCGGACGATTAAAAACTTAATTAATTATTTTCTAAAAACACAATTGTTATTGTCTATATTGGTTAATAACAAAATCTCACCTTTTTAATTTCCAATATTTTTAATATTTTTGATTATTTTTCTCAAAAAAATAAAAACACAGAGAAAAAAAATATTTACAAATAAACAAAAAGTGAAAAAAAAATTTGCCGGCCGGTTTATGAAAAAAAAATCTATAAATTTTTGTTTTTTTATTTTTTCATATTTTCATTTTATTTTTTTTTTTTTCTGTTTTATTTTAAGGTTTATTTTTTTTCTATACTTTTATTTTTTTACCTTAAACTTTAATCACAAAGCACAATTTCTCAAAACAAACCTTTAATAAAGCTCAAAATTTATTTTTTTTTTCATTTTCTGTTACAATTTTTTCTCTTTTTTTTCTTCTTCTTTTAAAAGTCTATTAAAAGTACAGTGCAATCGAATAAATACGACAAAAATAAAGAAAAAAAAATATGTAATACGTAGGTGCAGAAATGTAAACACAGAGAACCGCCAAAGTTCAATATTGAAAACAACGATGTGAAAAATAAAAACAAACTATAAAAATAATAACAGCAATATGTTTCTAATGAAAATGTGAAAATGTATAGAAGAAATCGTTATTAAACAAAAAAAATATATTTTGTTGTTTTTCTAAACTTCTCTCTACACTATGAGTTACGAGTGTATACACAGCTATGTATATAACCGTTTACATATTTACATTCATTTATTTATATGCACATATCTAGTCCAAATTTTAACCAAAAATTCCAAAAATAAAAAAATAAATATTATATTATGTAAATAAAACAAATAATAATAATAAATGTGATATAAATATAATATCAAAGCGCGTTTATTATCGTTAAGACACAGAAAAAAAAATATAATATATAAAATAAATATTGAAAATAAAAAAATTTAATGTACTTTTTCTTATTATTTTATTTATTTTCTTATTTCTTTAATATTACGAAGCGTAAAGGGGAAGACATACTGAATGCGATTTACAATCGTTGATGTCGTTATCGTTGTTATTTTCAATATTTTTGGTTCGTTTCATTTTCATCGTTATA